AATTAATATACCCTTGTGCACAAGTGCGCTCGGGTATAAAAAAACATTACACTGACACAGGGGTTGCCGAAAGAATAAATTTGAAAATAGTTTACGCACGCATCTGCTGCGGCAGTATAAACGAAAGCTCCATAACAGTTATTTATGTATTAACTTTCTGAACTTACATACATATGTACATATGTACTATGTATATGTACACATGCTCCTAGTATGTACAGTATTGGCCAATACAACAGCACCCCCTTTTCAAAGTGATATTGTTTGCCCCTCATGTTTATTTATTTATTTTAGGGAATTTTCAATTAAAATATAGTCCATTCTCAAAACTTATATAACTTCAAATTTAAAGCATTTTAAAAGACTACAAAATAATGCAACAAATTTTGACCCAAATTTTAAACTCTTTTCTCAGAAGTGCTAGAATTTTTTTGAATACACAGTTTTATAGCCCATTCAATTTTAGGCAAATAATAATGTGCAAGTTTCAAGTGGCTAAAAATTACCGTTAATTTTTTAGAATTTTTTTCTCCGAAGGTGTTGCGGGTTTATTCCATATAAAAATAAATTATGTTTATTTGTCATACGAAAGCAGTCTTTTAGTCTTTTAAAAAGTGTGTATAAGTTTTGTTAGAGAAGGAACTGTACTTTAATTGAAAATTCTTAAAACTAAATAATTAAACATAAGTGGGAAACAATATCACTTTGAAAGGGGGTGCTACAGATATGTCCAAAGGCCACGTAGGATAGTGGCAACGGTGAAGCCGGACCATGGTTCCATAGTAAAACAAATGCAAGATAACGGTAGGGCTAAGCCTAACCTAGTAAGCAGAGTGCGTCCAAGGGGAATGCGGAGGCCCTTCCGTGATCTACTTCCTACGCCCACTATTTTCACGAGGCTGGATGAGATAGGAGATCCGATCATTTGGTTTCCGCCAGAAAAGAGCAGCCAATAGAGGTCGGCGTAGGCACACCACCATACCTTGTTGTTAGAAGACGGTGTTCATTTATAGAAATTGCGAAGTAGCAAATCCTGCTGGGCATCTGTGAAGAAACCCATGAGAATACTCTGACCCTATGACTCCAGTGGTAATGGGTGAAGGCCGAAATGGCCAGCATAGCGATGAGAATACTCGGAGAAAACCCGATATTTCCGCCGACCTGCAAGAAAATGGGAGGTGTATACGCACCATAGTGTGTTTGATCCGCTACGATTTTGACTCGCTAAAAAAGAAAAATGTTTATAGGATCGATGTCAACGCCGCTTGTAATTTGCTGGCGGAGGTTGGGCATGAGAACACCATCAGTGACGTTGCGATGGAGGATAACACCGAGCAGGCTGATCCGAGGGACGAGCTGGTCGGGGCTATGCTTCATCAACATCATCGCTAGGTGTTGACCACTTCTCGCCGCAATATACTGAGGGGAAGTTGTGCGAGGATGACGGGGCAAATTCCGCACCCATCAAAGGCGTAGGTGGAAGAGACCAAGATGGTGTGGGTGCTTCATATAACCCTACACCCTTGTAAGGCAGCATCTGCTGCTCCGCCCGACATCCTTCAGTCCATGGATCTCTTCTTGGTTTAACTGATCCCCTTTCTCTTAAATGAGCTCTTGCGCAATTAAGCCGATATGCTCGGTAGAAGTAGGTTACTATTTATGTAAGTATGTACCCAAGATAGTAAGGCCACATCGGCTAGCTTTCCAGCTCCTTAGCTTTTGCTTGTTAGGGCTAGATTTACAGCACACTTTGTTCCCATGATTTTTATGCGCAAGATATTTGGAATCACAGCCATGGCTTACATTTATGTTGAATTATGAGTTATGGAGGCTGTCAACAAGTAAGTGCAGCTGTGACGATTTGATGATGCTGCCTTAGTAAAACTTACTCACCGCATTCTTAAAAATATGTCATATTCAGCAGAATTGATAGCAAAAATCATGGCTACTTATCAACTGTACAAAAGAGGCGGGCAAATAAAATAAATGTATGCTCTTAAGAAGCTTGATATACCACCTGACTTTCCAATGAATTATTGAGCACACGAGCAAATAATCTGCTCAAATATTTTTCTACAAAAGCTAATATTTACACAAAGTTGGAAGTAGATGAAATGAGCTGTAAAAGATTTAAGGCATAAAGCCAATCACAACATCGAGTAGGGTGTGTGTCATTCGAAAGAAAAATCCACAGCTAAAAATTGTGAAACCACAAAAGAAAAATGAATCGCATCCAACAAACTGCGCGAACCTCCCACGTCTGTTGATGTAGCTTTGTTGGCACATAGAATTAGAGAAAAGGAATTACCAAAGTAGCACCTAGCGATGACAAAGTATTTATTGCTGTGGTACGTACGAATGTGAGAAATAGGAGCACCGCGTTGGATATACATACATATTTATATATGTACCTACAGTCAGAGTCAAAAGTTGGTATACACCTTGGACCTTATGAATAAAAAGTAAGCAATTGCTTTTTCTTACAATTGCAGACTTCTTACTCGATTTATTCAAATGAATTTTGGTAAAAGGTTTAAAATTTTAAGAAAAAGTTATTGGTTAGTTTTTATTCATAAGGTCCCTTGTTTTAATAAAATATTTACAATTATTTTCATGAAATTTTTTCATACATTTTCTATGAAAATATAGAAATTAAAGTTTCACACTTTTCCAAAAAAAAAAAAAAAAATCATCAAAATTACAAACTTTTTAAAAAAATTCGCAAAAATTAAAAAAATTCATCAAAATTTCACGCCATAAATCGGAGGAGAAGCTTGGCCAAACACTAACATATGTGAAAGCGCCAATCTATAATTATTATTAAAACTTGCACTTTGTTTTTATTAAATTGAAGAGGCTACACAATTGCATACTCGAAAATTTTCTGAAACTAAAAAAAAAAAGTTTGAAATTTTGATAAAAAATGCTTTTAATTTTTGTGTATTTTATAAAAAGTGTCAAACTTCTGTTTATTTTAAACAATTAACTTTATTTTCATAAAAAATTAATGACAAAAATTGGTACATGAAAATAATAGTGAATATTATATGAAAAACAAGATGTATACTGACTTTTGCCTCTGACTGTATGTATGTATGTGCTTATGTTTAGTTAATAATTGAAGCATATGCATCGAGGATGGTACCCACATACAGTAGCACTATAGCACGTTTATAAAGTTATAATATTCCCATTTGTCTCTAGGTCGCGAAGCAATTGCATACATATATACGTACATATGTACAGTGGTTGACGAATAAATAGGGACGCAACATTTTAACATATTTTGCATATTTTTATTTTGTATATTTAATACTTATTATTGTTTTATGAAATAATAGCTCATTGTCTAACAAAAACCGTATTAGTTAATATTTCAAACTTTGTAGAAGAATTATAAAATTCTGCATATTTGCATCGGAATTTTCACTTTTTAATCAGATTTTAAAACTTTAATTCATAAAATTTTAGTATACTATTTTGTTGGTTTTAATTTGCTAAAGAATCGCATTCATGGAAAATCTGATTAAAAAGTAGAAAATTTAGATGCAATTTTGCAGAATTTTTATAATTTTTTGACAAAGTTTAAAATTATAAGTATTAAATAAAGCAAAGACAAATAGGCAAAATTTGTTAAAATCACGCGTCCATATTTATTTTTCCATCACTGTATGTATTTTAGTTCGTATGGATGTAAGAATGTGTTACATTAGACGTGTGATTTGGCGCATTCCAAACGTAGTATGGAAAACATGTCGATGAGAAAATGTGAAACGTGGCGGCAGTGACAGCGGCGAGCCATTGTCAAGAGCCATCAACGCGCAAGCAGCAATTTGTTGAACAAAAAAATAAAAAATTATATGCAAAAAAGGAATAAAAAAAAACAAAAAACAAAATTGATGTTGACATTTTACTTACCTTGCACGCAAATGATGATGACAAACAACGCCAATATGTGCCTCAGCGGCTGTGTCAAGTGTAGCTGGTAGCGGTGGTGATGGTGTCGTCGTCGCTGTTGCATGCCACAATGGCAATGTTGCCTTCGCTGCTGTACCGCAAGCATTGTTGTGGTTATGTTTGCTGCCGCTGTGGTTGTGGTTACTTTCATTTTGCTCGAGACTCTTCGCATTTTGGTTTTGTTCTTTAGTCGGGCTATATTCTAAGTAATTTAGTTGTTGGTGGTTTTGGCTTTCCCTCACTGCCGAATGTCGCAAAACTTTTGCTTTTTTATTTAACGTTTTTGATTTTTGTTTTGATGATATTCATTATTTTGATCTGACGCCGGAGTTTTCACTCTGTATTTTTTATTGTCGAATTAATTTTCATTTTTGACTCACATTTTTATTTTTTTTTTGTTGCTCTTCTTTTTGGCTTTTACAATAATTTGTAATTTGTGAAATGAAAAGTTGGGCACTTCAGGCTCAATTTGTCAGAAAAATTAACAACTTTATTTTCTTTATTTATTTATTTTTTTTCAGTATCAGCTTGCAAAATTTCCTTTTATTTTTCTTATCAATTTTTACGCGTATTTGGCTTTGTCAAATTTAAGCTCACAAAAATTTTTAAATTTTTTCATTCATACTTCAATTTTCCGTGAATCTGCCAGAGAGGGAAATTTTTCAATCGCATTCGACAAATAAGGTTTGAGTAAAAAAATTGAATTTCAGTTTTCTGCTCAAACAAAGAAAAAAATGAATCCATTGAAAAATCACTCTGCGGAAAAAATGTACCTATCATTTGTGCTCAAAAAAACGGGTTCAAAAGAGAGGAATGTATCCGAGTGTTATTAAATTTTTAGAGCTGCAAAAAATTTAAGCGCCATGAAGAACAAAATAAAATTAAAAAACTTTAGTTATCTTAAAAAAATAAAATAAAATAAAATAAAATAAAATAAAATAAAATAAAATAAAATAAAATAAAATAAAATAAAATAAAATAAAATAAAATAAAATAAATAAAGTAAAACAAAATAAAATAAAATAAAATAAAATTAGATTTAATTAAAATACTTGAAATCAAATTAGACTAAATTAAATTAAATACATTAAACCAAATTAGACCAAATTTAAACAAATAAAAATTAATTCAAATAACAAATTGAATTGAATAACACGAAGTTGAATCAGTTTAAATTAAATTAAGTCAAAATTAACTAGATTAAAATTAGATTGAATTTAATTAAAATAAATTAAATTGAATAACAAGAAATTAAATTAAATGAAACTAAAATAATTTATATTAAATCAAATTAAATTAAGCTAAATTAAAGTTAAATAAATTCAATTAGATTAATTTGAATTAAGTGCGAATAAATTTAATTAAGATAGATTGTATAAAATCAATTAAGACTTAATTAAATTAAACTAAACTACATTAAATTAAATTAAATTAAGGTAAATGAGAATAAACTAAATTAAATAACAAATAAATAAATTACGCTAAACTGCATTGGGCTAAATTTAACAAATTAAATAAAATTAAGTTAGATTAAATGAAATTAAATTAGACTAAATGAAATTAAACTAAGATGAATTAAATTGAATTACACTATATTAAATTAATTATATTAAAGTAATTTAATTAAATCCAATTAAACTAAATTAAAATCAAACTAAATTATAATAAATTAAATTGAATCAAATAAAATTAAAACAAAATAAAATAATTTGAATAAAATTAAAAACAAAATGGCATAACAGGAAAGGAATGATATTGAAAGTACTAGAATGAGATGAAAAAAATTTTACGAAATGGAAAAGAGAATTAAGTTAAATGTAATTAAATGAGTTTAAAGCAATCGAATTGATTGAAAAGTTTTAAAAATATATCAATCTCAAAAACTTGAGTTATGTGAAATTAACTAACTTAATTGAAATGAAACGAATTTAAGTGAAATGAAACACATTAAAAAATATACACGTATATATAAGAGGCCAAGGGTAGCTTAAGCTTGCATTATACTTAAAAAATAAAGAAAAGTGAAAAAGTAATTTTTCTGTGTAATTTCAATCGAACTACTTTTGCTTTGCCAATTTTTCCCCTAAGCGGCAATTGCACACGCTTTCTCTCGCATAAGAATTATGACAAATCTAATAAATGTTAAACATTTCTCAAAAAAAAAAAACACGTTTTCTGTGCGTTTTTCCCTTTGAGCACAAAAATTTACTTAAGCTTCGATGCGCTTTTAATTTTACTCGTAACACATTTTTTAATCCAGATCTTGTACATGCGCCTGCACAAACATACATACATACGAGTACATACTTATCTACGTGTTATTATATTTGATCATAAAAAAATGCGATAATTGCGTTAAATGCTGTTTTTTTTATATAAAAATTGCCTGCATTTTTCACGCTTTTTGTGTAAATTTCCTTTGACGTGCAGTGATTTATTGCTTTCTATTGTTTTTGTATAAGAATATATTTTAATAAGAATTTATTGACGTTGCTTGCATTTTGCTGTCGGAACTCAGAGCTTTTGGCTCATCGTCGTGACCGTGCTTTTTTATGGTATTTCAGCTTAAAAGTTGTACTTTTTTTTTTTGCTATGGGCTTCCTTGAGCATGGATGCGCTATTGTGTGTATGTAGCTGTTTTATGGCACGCACATTTTTGCATTATTAAAATGCAGTCCATCGGAAAATGCTGTAATCAAAGTAAATAAGAAAAAATTATGTGAGAAAAATTGGCAGATTAATTGAGGCGAAAAAGTACATAAAATACATCGTTGAGCAGATTAAGTAATATTCGATAAAAAAGTGTTGAGCCAATATTTTGTACATAGACATATACATAAGTAATGCCGAATTTTCCACTATTCATTGAAATGAAAAAAGTTGATGCAGTTCAAAAAATGTCATGTGGAAATGAACATAATGACGAATCTTTTCAATGACCAACTTTATCAATACAATTTTTTCCACTTTATGTCTAGTGGAAATCTAGCATAAGAATAGTTTAGATAACAAGTAAGTTTTAGCAAAAAAAAACCGACTTCAATTCTCGTATAAAAAAAAAATATATATATGTATATATATATATATATATATATATATTTCATGATCCAATGATCGGATCTAAACCAGATTGGTATGGGACCACCTCCGAGACACTACCTTTCCGATGCAAATTATCGAAATCGGTTGACGTGGTCCAAAGTTATGCGGTAACATACATAAAAAAAAAATATATTCCGACGAACTTACCACTGCAGAGTGCTTTATTTAAACATTAGCTAAGGGTTTTATACATAGAGGCAGCAGTGCATACATAATCCTTAAAGGAGAAATAGGTTCAAAATGCATAGTTTTGCAGAGAGCGACATTCTTCATAAAACGGAAACTTTTTGCAGTTTTTGTAGCGGAAATATAAATCATCTGTCTCTGTATTGATACTTTCACCGGAAAAGTATGACCTATCAAATCGGGGTGTTTTCTGCAACCTCTAAATAAATGACCTTCGAACTTCAACTGGTCCTGGACTTATTAAATGAGTGAAAGTGTTTTCATATGAAAACGAAAAAATATGAATTATCTAACAAGTCGGAGATGCTCTATCTTTCGCTTTCGACCGTAAGTGAGGGGTCATACTGTCCTTTTTTTTAAATAGGGAACATATATTTTTAACGCTTTTGCCTGAAATTTTTTTCCGAAATACACTTCCGGTTAAAATAATGCACTTCCGATCAGTTTGATCCTTTTCCGGTCGAAACCGGCAGTCGGTAATACAACCTAAAGATAAAGCAGCTTCGACTTGGTTCATATTTTTTTTTCGTTTTCCAATAAAAATATTTTTTCCCTTATTTGAGAAGTCCAGTAGCTTGTTTCTGTAGCAATTCTGTACGAATTCATATAAATATGAACAGGACGAATTGAAGTTCGAAGGTTATTTAAAGTTTGCAAAAAAGTCGCTTCCGGGAAAAATGTCACAAACAAGAGTTACGTATTTGAACCCTCGGAATCCGAATCTGCAGCCATAATATGTACACTTGTGGTCAGCTGATTAAATCAATTCACATTTTGTCTATTTTTCTTTTGTTTATTTAGTGTTTATATTTTTTTATAAAAGTTTAACACTTTACTTAACCAGCGCCACATAAATCTGTATTTAAAACTTTCAACAAAAAGTTTAACAATTGCACCCAAATATTTTTAACTTTTTATTTAGAATTTCTAGAAACATTTTTGGTATGCATTTGTATGTTTTGAACCTTATTAAATTTTACTAGGTAAAGTGCAAATTTCAAGACGACAGAAAATCGCGTTGATTTTTAAATATTTTTTTTTTTGCTGAAGGTGCCAGGCTTTTTCTCTTATATAAACGAAATTGTCGCGCATACTTTATATGGAAGAAAATGCACAACACCGTCAGACCGTCACCGTCAGGGTAAGTCGATTTAAAAAAAAATGGCCTTTCGATCAAAAGATAAAGCATCCCCGTCATATTTTAGCGTTTAAGTTCTAGAAAAAATGATCAGGCGATATTATTTGTTTTTTTAGTAACTAAATTAAATTAATGAATATTTCGAAAAAATCGTTGGCAAAAAATGTCTACACCTGTCCTTTTCTTTCCAAGTTTTATTATACACTTTAAAGAGGGTAGAATTATATTTTATATACGTATGTATGTTAATGTAAATGAAGTTTTATTAAACTCGTCTTATTTGAAATGAACTCTCCGCAAATTATGTCCATTTTCTTTTATTAAAATAGTATATCTAACGCAAAATTCATAAGGATTGATGCGTCAACTTTACCAAAACCAGTTAAAATATAGAACCAAAGATCATTTAAAAAGTTCTTTTACCCACAGTGGCAGAGCACTAAATCACTGCCAAAATGAAAAATACATAAACTGCTCATTTACTAAAAACTCTTTCGGTCTGTACAGCAGCCGGCTGCCCACCCCCTTATACATGCATGTACATATGTAAGTAAGTACCTGAAGCAACCTAGCACAATGTAGCACCACCGGCGCATTACTCATACGCACTGGTGCGCCAAATGCGACTTTAATTGCTGAGCAGTCGACTTTGCCTCCCCTGGCCTTGCAGCTGCAGCGGTGGAGCTGCATAGCAGAGACACTTAACATTATTACTTGCAAGCCAACTAAGGTACTCATTTAGTAAGCAAAAGGAAAATTTTCAGAGCACAAAAAAGGCATCAAAAAAAAAAAAAAAAAAAAAAAATCTAACAAAAAGCTATAAAAAATAAAGCCAGAACCAGAAAGAAAATGAATGAGTGGAGTGTTAAGTACACTTGTGTCGCATTGTGGCGCATTCATTTGCACAGGCGCTCTGGTTCAACGCTGCTGTTGCATGACTTT